GGGAAAGTCAGCAGTCAGCAGCGCAGTGGCGGGAACCGCAGCCCGGCGGCCCTGGAAGCTCCCAGGTCAGAGGAGCTGCGGGGCTGGGACCCGGGAGGGAGGAGCGGGGGTGCGAGCGGTTTCTCTGCTGCTCATCAGGAAGCCGGCTCCGAGATTCTGCTGTGGATGTCTTTCCTTTGTCGATAAATTTTAGATCCGGAGTAATCCTGATTTTTTTTTCCCATTGAATTTTTTGATTGTCAAAATAGTCTTGCAAGAATAGTCTCGGTAGAATGTTTGAATCTGTCTGTTGATATTTGCAAACGCGTTTCTCTTTGCTATGACGGATAGGAAAGAGTTACTGAAATTAACATTCATCTTGCTAACTCCCCTGTTAAGCCACTCACCTATTCAAGAGAGTTGGCATATTGACCTGGGGAATTGGCAATCCCCGGAGACCTTTTAGATATCATTTATGAAAGGAATGCGTGCAGATTTGACTAATTCCGATATACATACATACATACATACACACATACATATTCGAGGTCTGTAGTTATGGTTGTAAACATTAATATTTAAAAAGTAAACACTTTATCCATCATTAATTTTTCATTTCAGACATATGTACTGTGTGAGGTAGATACAGCATTCTGAAGTGTCTTTGCCAAGCCCAGTGTCACAGGCCGTGAATTCCAGCACTCAGGCGGCAGCAGCAGGCGATCCTAGTAAGGTTTAGATCAGCCCAGTGTACATAGTGAGTTCCAGGACTTCCATAGCCATATTGTGAGACCGTGTCTCACAAACAAAACAAAACAAAAATGAAACGTGTCTTCTTGTTCTGAGTTCTGTATGATGCACTTAGAGTCTGCAAAGCACAGTGCGATGTTTGAGGCTGTCAGGTCACAGTATTTCCTGTTAGAAAAAACATTAGGGGCCAGATGGTGTTGACACATGCCTTTAATCCCGGCATTTGGGAAGCAGATGCTGGTGGATCTGAGTTCAATGCCAGCCTGGTTTGATTCTACAAGAGCAAGTTTCAGGACAGCGGGGACTACACGAAGAAATCCTGTCTTTAAAAAAACAAAAGAGAGAGAGAAAAAAAGAAAGAGCATTATAGTATAGGATAATATTAAATTCATCTTTTGAATAAAACCGATCATTCATTTACATCAGAAAAAAAATGTCTGCAAAGTCTTTTGTCTCCTCAGTTCCAGAAAACCACTCTGTTGATGGACACATGACCAAACTGTTATTTTTTTGATTCTTACGTTAGCTTTGTTTGAGGTACGAACTCACTGTGTTGCCCTTTCTGCCCCAAAATTCACCATGTAGACCAAGCTGGACTGTAACTTAGAGTTCCACCCATACCTGTCTCCCCAATGCTAGGATTAAAGGTGTACACCAACATAACTCTTCAAGCCATTGTGTTTTCCTTTATGGTCTGTTGACAGCCAGTGCTGTGACTGTGGACCTCTCCCAGGAGGAGGGACAATGTCTGGACCCTCCCCGAGGGCTTTGTACAGAGAGTGGATGTTACAGAGTTGCAGCAGTCTGGTTTCTATGGGTGAGAATAGTTTCCTTGCAGTCTCCCTTGCTGTACCTCAGGGTTTCCTGACAAATTTCTCTGCAACTGTGTGAGCTTTGTGTGAGCGATGCTGACAGAGTAAAGTGAAATCCCCAGAAAAACAAAGAAAATCTACATGAAATGTTCTCTCTTCCTCCTGTGTGTCCCTTTGGGAGGTGTAAGGCTTCCATCAGTTTTGGACCATGATTAATTCAGAATCTCACTAGTGAATGAGATCCTCATTCTGATCATTCAGTTCCGTTTCTACCCCTGAGGTGTGACTGAGCTGTGATGATCGGAAATGGGATTACAGAGATGCTAACTGAAAATGCTTTCTAAATATTTGCACTATTCTTTTTTTATTTATTAGTTCAAATTAGGAACAAGCTTGCTTCACATGTCAATTCCTTTCCCCCCTCCCCCCCAGTCCCTCACCTACCCCTACCCTATCCCTCCTCTGCTCCCCAGGCAGGGTAGGGCCCTCGACAGGGGCTCCCCAAAGTCTACCACATCATCCCGGGCCGGGCCTAGGCCCTTCCCCATGTGTCTCGGCCCATGTGTCCAGGCCGAGAAAGCATCCCTTCACGTGGGATGGGCTCTCAAAGTCCCTTCTTGCACCAGGGAAAAATACTAATCCACTACCAGGGGTCCCACAGAGTGTCGAGGCCTCCTCATTGACATCCACGATCAGGGTTCTGCATCAGTCCCGTGCTTGTGTGACAATATCACTGATATAATCCTGTGTTTCGTTTTGTCTTTACTCTGCATAGTACTGTTTTAGAAACCTGGTTGCATGGTATGTACTCACTGATATATGAATTTTAGACATAGAGCAAAAGATTACCAGTATATAATGCTCTTCACCAAAGAAACTAGGAAACATGAAGGACTCTAAGGGTTAAATAGTCCCCAGGAATGGAAGTGGCATGAACTCCCGAACTAATTGGGAGCATGAGGGTGGGGGGGAAGGAGCTGCTACAATAAGAGCAAGAGAAGAGGAGTAGAGGAGAGGAAATGGAGGGGCAGAAACTGAGTTGGGGGAAGAATAGAGGAAAGAGAGCAGGATGAGAGATACAATATCAGAGGGAGCCACTATAGGCCCGAGAAGGGATCTGGAACTAGGGAGATCTCCAGAGACCTACAAGGATGGCACGAGCTGACAATCCAGGCAATGGTGGAGAGGATAACCTAAAAGCCCTCCCCCTAAAATGAGATTGATGACTTCTCTTTATGCCATCCTAGAGCCCTCACCCAGTGGCTGATGGAAGCAGAGACTTAGTATTTTCCCCGGGTGCAAGAAGGGACTTTGAGAGCCCATCCCACAGGAAGGGTTACACTCTGGCCCTGGACACATGGGAAAGGGCCCAGGACCAGCATAGGAAGACTTGGTGGACTTTGCAGAGCCCCAGTTGAGGGCCTTACCCTGCCTGGGGAGTGGTGAGTGGATGGGGGGGGGGGTAGACTGGGGGTGGGGGAGGAGGGCTGGGGGTGAGGGGAGGGAGAGGGAGAAGGGACTTGAAATAAGCTTGTTCCCTAACTAGAACTAATAAAATAAAATAAAAAAAAGAAAAAAAAGAAACCTGGTTGCTTCCTGAAGATTCTCTTTCTCATGTGCAGAGCTCAGTGATCACCCAGACCTGCTCACCTGTGCAGCAGAACAGAGGGGCCTGGAAGGACAGAGACAGTGACTAAGGAAGCAGGAAAGGGGGGGGGGGTGGGCG